TTGGTTTGATTTGTAAAAGACGGTGATTCCATTTTTCCTAAACGAAATTTGTATTTAAAAAAAAAAAAATATCAAAAAAAAGCGAGGGTGGCAGGGGAGGGGCGGGGAGGGAGGGAAAGCACAAATTTATTTTTGTTACGGGTATCTGGCCTTTATAAACACTTGCTTTCCCTATTGTGGTGTCCCAGTTTCTGCTCTGCTCTTGTGCTCCCTCATCCCACAGCTTCCCAGTTCATCCCATGGCCCCCCAGGGTGATGGTGGTCTGTGGGGTGGGGTGGGAGGGAGGGAGGCTGGGCATCTCCCTGCAACCCACCTACCTCTGCTGAGCAGCAGCGTGTTCTCCCAGAGGCTCTGAAGCACGAGGAACCCCAAACCCCACAGCTCCTGCCCTGCACCCCAGGACTCTGCCGGGAGGGTGACATCTGCATTTCCCAGCAGAGAATCATAGAATCACAGAATGATTTGGGTTTGAAGGGACCTTAAAGATCATTTTGTTCAACTCAGACCTGATGATCCTCATCTGAAGACAACCAGCCCCTAACTTCCCTGGCAGGGAAACACATCCGTGTGTGGGACCAGCTCAGCCCACCCTTGAGCTCCAGCCCTGTGAGCAAGGAGGGGCTCAGTGCAAAAAGTCGCTTGGTTTTGTCCCATCCATGCAAGTTTGGTGGCCGTTCCCATGGGCAGCACAGGCATGGCCAGTTCATCAACTCACCCAGACACCCTGCTGCCACGGCCCACCGTCAGCACCAGGCACTGATCATTCCACCAGCACAGGCAAAGGCTTTGTCTCATATCATAGAAGCACAGAATGGTTTGGGTTGGAAGGGACCTTAAAGCCCATCCAGTTCCAACCCCCTGCCCTGGGCAGGGACACCTCCCACCAGACCAGGTTGCTCCAAGCCCCCTCCAACCTGGCCTTGAACCCCTCCAGGGATGGGGCAGCCACAGCTTCTCTGGGCAACCTGGGCCAGGCTCTCACCACCCTCACACCAAAGAATTTCCTCCTGAGATCTCAATCTCCCCTCTTTCAGTTGAAAACCATTACCCCTCGTAAGGTAACCCGCAGAGGCTGTTACATGGGCAGAGCCATCTCCTCACTGTTGTCAAGGAGGCTCTTTCCTATGGCCCCTCTATGCATTGGGAATCTTTACTGCAGGAGAAATGTAAAGATACACATCTCTGTACGCGACACGCTCTGTGCTGGGAGGAATGACTCACCAGAAGCACCGCTCCGGGGCTGCCCCTGCACCCCTGGATGGCTGTGAGCACCAAAGACACCGGCAGAGCCACGTGGAAGCCCCAGGTGTCTGCTTGGAGCCATTCCCAGTTTGGAGGGTGTCCCGGGACAGTGCTACCTCCAGCCCTGCAGCCCCCAGTGGATGGGACTGGAGAACATCAGCATTGGCCCTCTTGACATTTCGGTCCAGCACCTTGTCTCTGGTCTCTCCCAAGGAGCAGCATTTGCCTGGAGCCTGGATGAAATGCTGCTTTGCCAAGGAGGATGAACCTGGAAAAGCAGGGGGCTGTACTGGGGCTGGACCATTGCTGGTGGCTGAGACATGGACAGTTGCCTCCCCGGTGGCCAGGGCAAGCGCAGAGGTGGCAGGCAGCCAGGCAGGACAGGAGGCTGCGAGCTCTTGGCCATCAACCCAGGTGCAATAACCTGGAGATCCTTCACCTCAAATGGAAGCAAAGGCTTTGGGGTGCTAGCCAGGTTGGGGAGGCTCTCCTCAGGGCTGCAATCGGAGGTGTTTTCCAGATGTTTCTTTTCCTTGCCCTTGTCTGCCCCTTACAACTCTTGGCTGCTGCTCTTCGGTGATGAAAAGGCTCTTCGGGGCTTGGAGTCCTCTCCCTGGGTCTCCATCTGGTCATTCTTGGGTGGATACAGCGACGAGCAAACCCACCCCCAGGTCCAGGGGAGGGATTTGCAGGTAAAACACTGCCCTTGGGTGCTTGGTTTGAACCTGAGGGCCCTTGGGTGCTTTGTTTGAACCTGGGGGCCCTTGGCTTGGCTCAGTGGTGTCACATCTCCAAAGGGATGTAGGGACTTACACCCCATAGATGCCGGTGAGGTGTGTGTGGGTTCATACACAGGGTGCAGGGCACTGGGGGGGTCCTCAAGGAAAGGGAGATGCTAAATTAATGCCAGGACCGAGCTGGCCCAGCAAACCTGCTGGGAGCAGGAGGCAAATCCTCCGGGGGGGTGTTGCCTCCAAGCACGTGTTCCTGCAGAAAGGGAAAGTTGGGCAAATCCTCTGCTTTTTGCCCTGAGCCATTTCTAGCAACCAAGCGATGCTTCGGGCTGTCACAGTCCCATGTCTGGAGGTCACGGGCATGAGCATGGGACCTGCACGAGTGTGATGGACCACACACACACAACCCCCGTCCTGCAAAACAGCCACAGACTCAAGTGGTGGTTGGTTTGAGGTCTTTGGATTTCACCCCGACCAGGTCCCCGCTGCCAGGACAGGCCATGAACACACAAACCTCTCTGCTTTATCCCAAGCCCTGCTGCTGCAGGGTGACTGAGGGGAAGGGGGCGAGGGGTGGGGGCAGAAAAAGCTGCTTCCCAATGGAAAAGAGTGATTTTTTTTGATTGTCAGAACCTCAGTTTTCCTACCAGCTGGCTTATGCAACGTATGGAAAGAAGCTGGTCCTCCCCACCTGGCCGTGGGGCAGTTTGGCTGCATGGTGAGAGCCCCCGGGACCCCCCAGCCTCAGCCCAGCAGGTAGCTTTAGCCGCATCCCCTACGTCTTCCTTCTTGTTTTTTTTGGAAACTACTTTTTAACATCCCACTGCCTTCCTCAGCTATACAGCAGAATGGGGGCTTAATTTGTATAATGGAGCCCTGCTGCAAAACGCTCTCACGAAGCCATCTCCTCGGAGAGTGGAAATAGAGAGGGTGAATAATAATTCTTCTAACCTTAAGCAAATTGTTAGCCCTGGCTCAATATAATTCGTAATGAAGTCCGCAGTAGACTTTTAATGTAAAGGCCTTACCTAACAAATAAGACAATGAAGGTGGATTCCCCATGGTGTGGTTGCTAATACTGGAATCAGTGCTATTGTGATCATTTTTAAAAAAAAAATACCTTTTTTTTTTTGAAGTTAAGCTTGGAGGTGTGATTAGAAGTTCTTTTTTTTTTTCCCCAAATTATAACATTAATTTATGGCTGAGTTTCATTCAGTCCTGTGTTCAGAAGTGCAGTACAGGTATTAGTGACGTGTTGGCTGTAACATGGTGCCATAGAGTAGCCAATTTGTAAAAAAAAAAAAAAAAAGAACAGAAAGTAAAGAAAAACAACAAAAAACCAACAACACAAAAAAAATTAAAACTGGGGAAAAAATGTAAATTGAGTATTTTGCGGTATTATGCAACACAAATTAATTTTTCACAGGGAAAAATGTTTCTAGGAAAATGAAATTCTGATAATTCATACTATTTGTATGAGCAAATAAAAGCTATATTTTACCAACTGCTGGACACAGTTGTATCTATTCCAGGCTGTGGAGGTGGAGGTGGCCTCCCCACGTGGGCTTGGTGGGGCTGCCCCCCTGACACACGCGTGTCCATCCATGAATGTCCTTGCGGTTGTGCTGGCCCCGTGGTGAAGCCCAGAAGCACGTGTGAAACCAGAGGGATTTAATCCCATACATGAGCTCCCTCCCAGCACAGGGCTGGGTTTGGGAGCCGGAGGCTTCGCTGGGTGGTGGACATGGAGGCGTTTTGCTTGGTTGGGTTGTGGGAGCTGGTCTGTCCCATCTAACACACCTTCATCAAACACACCTCCATCAAACACCATTTCAGGGAAGGCGACCTGAGGGGTTGGCCTGCAAAAGCTGGATGGCCTCAGTGTTTGGTGAACCCATCCTGCTGCATCGGGGATGCTGGAGGACAATTCAGTCCTTTATAGCCGGCAGTGGGGAACCTCTCCAGTGCCAAGTTTCTTTTCCAAAGCATTACATTTACAGTAGTGATGCTGGTCCAAACCTCTGGGGCCAGTGGTTGCTATTGCTTCCCTCCACACTCAGCACTTTAAGATATAAAAATTCATTATCATTAAATTCAGAAGAGTCCCAGGCCAGTGCTATACAAAGCAGCGCCTAAAGAACGTTACAGATTTATGTACATTAGTGATGTGTTGGCTTCAACATGGTGCCATAGAGTAGCCGATTTGTAAAAAAAAAAAACAGAAAGTAAAGAAAAACAACATACAAAAAAAAAACCACAAAAAAAATTAAAACTGGGAAAAAAATGTAAATTGAGTATTTTGTGGTATTGTACAACACAAATTAATTTTTCACAGGGAAATTCTGATAATTCATACTATTTGTATGAGCAAATAAAAGCTATATTTTACCAAATGCTGGACAAGGTTGTATCTATTCCAGGCTGTGGAGGTGGAGGTGGCCTCCCCATGTGGGCTTGGTGGGACTGCCCCCCTGACACATGCATGTCCACCCATGAATGTCCTTGCAGTTGTGCTGGCCCCGTGGCAAAGCCCAGAAGCACGTGTGAAACCAGGGGGATTTAATCCGTGGGCTTGGTGGGGCTGCCCCCCTGACACACGCGTGTCCATCCATGAATGTCCTTGCGGTTGTGCTGGCCCCGTGGTGAAGCCCAGAAGCACGTGTGAAACCAGAGGGATTTAATCCCATACATGAGCTCCCTCCCAGCACAGGGCTGGGTTTGGGAGCCGGAGGCTTCGCTGGGTGGTGGACATGGAGGCGTTTTGCTTGGTTGGGTTGTGGGAGCTGGTCTGTCCCATCTAACACACCTTCATCAAACACACCTCCATCAAACACCATTTCAGGGAAGGCGACCTGAGGGGTTGGCCTGCAAAAGCTGGAT